AGAAAGAAAGAAAGAAAGAAAGAAAGAAAGAAAGAAAGAAAGAAAGACAAATGCCTTGCTGTCAGGCAGGCTCAGAACAAAAGGTTGGGACCCACCGCAGGAAATGAAATGGAAATTACAAATTACAAATGTGGAGTCAAGGACACAAGGATAGTTGGTTTTTTTTTTTTCCTCTGGGGGGTGGTGGAGAAAAATCGGGGTGCCCTGCCTGTTTGGCAGAAGGATGGAGGTGAACGCAAGGCCCTTTTCTGCTCAGCGTAAGGATGAGGATTCAAGAACTGGTTAAAGAGAAAAGGAGGGGGGGGAAAAACAGCCTTTCCTACATTAAAAATTAGAAGTTCTTAAGCCGAGAACAGCTTCTTATTTCAAGAGAGACATAATTATAATGGGCTCTCATCCTTTCAAAGCCAGTTAAGGAGCCTAATCTCTTTTCTTAGCAACGTTTAAACTCTCTGTTTATGACTCGTGCCGGGAAACCTATTACGAAAACGGCTTCCTTAATAATAATTTGTGGGGCTGCTGCTTGCACAAAAGCAGATATCCGTTGCCTTCGACAAAAGCGGGGTTTCTTGGAGCTGTACGGAGAAGGAAAAAGCATCCTGGCATTTTTTTAGCCAATACCCAAAAAATAAATAAAAATAAATGCACACACAAAAAAAGACAACTGGGGATGGTGCAGAAATAAATTCCGGTTAGCATCTTAAAAGAATCACCCACAAATCTCTCTGGGCTTAGGACACTGGGGATCGTCTGCAGGTAGTCCTCGCCTTACGGCGATTCATTTAGTGAACATTTGGGATTCCAACGGGACTGGGGGGGAAAAGGGACTTACGACCAGTTCCTCACACTTACAACCATGGCGGGCGCTTGGCAACTGGCATGGACTTACGACGGTTGCTGCTGCATTCCCAGGGTCACTATTGGAGACCATGCCAGCTGGCTTCCGACGACCAAAAAAATCAGTGGGAGGAAGCCCGGTTCGCTTAACAATTTCACAATTCACTTAAACTATTTTCAGCGATCCGTTTAACCACTGTGGCAAAATCACTGCAATTGCCACAAGAAATCCCAGCCTGGCTTCGCCCCGATCTTTCCCAGAATGGCCCCTATTCGAATTCTGCCTGCTGCCGCAGAGTGCCAACAGCTTTCCCAGCACAGCTACTCCTGGTTTTAAAACCGGGCTGTCAATCTTCATCCTCCTCATCACCAGGATCCGCTGGAGACGTCTGTGGACATGGCCACATCCATCCAACGAACATGGCCAACTTTCCAAGGCTGTTTCCAGGTGGACCCTTCTCTGCGCTTAAACACCTCTCTTCCGACTCCTTCTCATTCCTATTTCTGACCTTCCCTTCGCCCTCTTAGACAAGGGCCGAGGGCTGGTGGCCATGTAGTCTGACCCAAGGGGAGAGCAGAAGGAGGTCGGAGAATGGGGAGAGGGGAGAGAGCTTATAGTTGGCTGGAGACCCCAACAGTATTCTTGCAGACGTTTCATTACCAAACTAGGTCACATCATCAGTGCTAGAAAGGAGACAGTGCTAGAAAGGAGGCAGACCTGTGGAGAGAAGGAGGAGGACTGTGGGGTCCTTGGTGGTCTCTGAGCTGGGTGGCTTTCTTGTAGACGTTTCATGACCCAACTAGGTAACACCATCTGTGCTAGGAGGGTCTTTTGGAGAGGGGAAGGACGAGGAGGACCGTGGGGTCCTTGGCGCTCTCCGAGCTGGGTTCTTTTCTTGCAGACGTCTCACTACCAATCCAGGTAACGTCATCAGTGCATCATGTTACCTAGTTTGGATAATGGAACGTCTGCAAGAAAGTAACCCAGGTCGGAGAGCACCAAGGACCCCTTCAGATCATGGTCTGTTCAGGCTTGCTGGCTGCCATGTCACCAAAGCATCTCGGGCTCCTTTAAAGAAGTGGGCGTAGAGATCCTCCATGTGTAATGGAGTAAGACATGTCAGGGCACTATTTCACTAAGAATGGATGCCTTTCTTCTGAATACGAGGGTGTAGCCTGTAATAACTCCTATAATCCATCTATCTAAAAGCGAAATGCCACTCACGCATTATCACAAAACCTCCAGAACTGTAAAGCCTACAGACTTGGAAATTTGGCACGTATGTTCCTCCAAGTCTTGGCTTCTAGGGGCTCACTAAGAAAGGATTTTTCCAAATGACCATCAGAGCGTTAGTATTTCGTATATTATTATTATTATTAACACGCTCTGATGCTAAGGAGTTCTACTCCCCCTCCCCACCTGAAAAGAAATCTGTTCCAAACACAAGCAGAGCAGAGGAGTTTCAGTTTCACAGCCCCAAGCAGCTTTAGCACAGAACAGTTGAGCTTAGCCACGCCCAGGCTCCTTGCTGTCTCCTTTTTGCTCACACAGCAAATACTGCTTCAGTTTCCAAACAGCCCTCAACTCTCTCATACACTGACAGAACGCTAGGCAGATGGATATCGATGGAGGCTGGTAGGCAGAGGCAGATTTGCCCCCCGCCATTTATTCTCCTCCCAAAAAACTAAGCCCAACCACATAGTTTCGTAGCAAACCACGGGTATCAAGCTAGTCCCAGATATAAGACATTCCCTGTAGTGGGTGCAGGACAAGAATTCTTTAAGCCAACCCTGAAGATTTGACATCCGTGCTCAGATGATCTGGAATAAGGAAGGGGACAGGCCAAGAACGGGAGCTATTAAAACTCACCCAGAGAGAAATAAATTAATAAATAAATCTCTCCCCCCACCCTCCCCCTTTTTCAGCCTCCTGCTATCTTAGCTGCGGGTTTGTTTAAGTTTGGTGTTTTGAAGCCGCACGTCCTTCGGTGTTTCCGCACACAGAAGGAACAAAATGTGCTTTGCTTGCCCGCCCAGCCAGCTAAAACAAACTTCGCTCCGTTGCTTAGAAACTACAAAGGATTCTGGGACTGGTCTCCTTTTTTTGTGGATGGAGCCAATTGCTGGGGGGGGGGGGGGGGGGGAAGGGGAAAAAGAACCCCACCCTTCCCATCTTTTCCCCCCACCGAGACTAAGAAATCCACGGCCGAAGGGCCGAGCAATAATCTCAGTGAAATAGAAAATAAAAATAAAAATAAAAAAAGAGAGAAATGCACCCTTGAAAAGACCGGAGGCAACGTGTTGCTCGAACAGCCAAATTTTGCAACCTTGATTAATCTTGGATCTATCGTCCGCGTTAACATTTATGAGCTTGCAAACGCACCAATAGGGCCAAATTTTAACTTTTATCATCATCGTTGTCAAGTATTGGACCGGAGCAGATGTATGAAACGGTGGTGGGAACCTAGCTTGTTTCATTCCAACTGGGGAGCCCCCTGTCACACCCACCCCCCCAAAAAAAAAGCAGGCTCCAGGTTTAAAAAGATGGAATATTGCAAGAGTCAAGATTTCTTTTAGGCTTCCGTCTGGAATACACAACTGATCCCTGGGCCAACACCACTCGGTGAATTTTGCCTCGTTTTATGACCTTCCTTGCCACGTTTGTTAAGGCAGTCTCATCCATTGTTAAGTTAGTGACAGGGCTGTTAAAAGTGAACCTGGCTTCCCTATTGAGTTGGCTTGTCACAAGGGACACTGAATCCGTTTTTCTCAAGAGGCAACTGGACTTCCTTCGTTTTTCTTTGAAGGCGTTTAGCTTCTTCTCGCAGTTGCCAAGTGGCTGAACTTTGATAACACGACCATGGGGATGTTGCAAACAGGGGTGAGATTCAACTGGTGTTACTACCGCTTCGGTGATGTACATTTTGCATTAAAATGACTAATGACCTCACCTTGCTTCGATTGGACTTTAAGTTACAGTTTTTGTTGACCATGTTTTGGACTTGATTCTCTCTGCAGCCAAAGGCTGTTCCTGGGAGAGTTTTTTCTCCAGCCCAGAAGGTAACCAGGACGCTGGGGGCAAAGTTGGAGCTAATAAAGGGACTCTGACTGATTATTTGACTGGGTTGCCTTTGTGCCACGCCCCTTTGGGTCATCACACTTGTTAAGGTGGGAACCTGGCCGCTGAGAGAAGCCGGCTGCGTAAGAGACCCCCCCCCCCCCCGCCGTCTCTTCCCACTTTCCAAAGTGAAGCATCTACGCAAAAGCGATGAGAGATTTTAAGCGGAGCCCGACCAAGAGTCGTTCCCCACCATCACCCCCCCCCCCCCAAACCCCCAAGCCTTTCTCACCACTTCGTCTTCCGTCCAGCACTTTTCGATCAGTTTGGGGACGGGCTTCCTCACCAGGCGCTGGAGGGCCTTCCCGGCGTCGTAGTTACTCTCGTGTAGCTGCAAGGAGGAAGAGAGAAAAGAGGCTCAGAGGAAACAACGCTAGAGAGAACATGACACCATTTTCCGAAAGAGAACCAAAGCGGAAAGCTTAGCAGCTCAGGGCCAAAACAAAACATTCCCCGATTCTTCCCACGTTAACAGATAATCAGAGTTGGAAGGGACCTTGTAGGTCATCTAGTCCAACCTTCTGCCCAAGCAGGAGACCCTACACCCATTTCTGACAGATGGCAGTCCAATCTCTTCTTGAAGGTCTCAAGTGATGAAGCTCCCACAACTTCTGCAAGCAACTTCTGTTCCATGGGTTGATTTTTCTCACTGTCAGAAAATTCCTCCTTATTTCCAGGTTGAATCTCTCCTTGATCACTTTCCATCCATTATTCCTTATCTGGACTTCAGGTGCTTTGGAAAATAGCTTGACCCCTTCCTCCTCTCTGTGGCAGCCCTTCAAATATTGGAACACCGCTATCATGTTTCTGCTGGTCCTTCTCTTCCCTAGACTAGCCAAGCCCAGTTCCTGCAACCGTTCTTCATGTGTTTTAGTCCCCTAATCGTCCTGGCTGCCTTTCTCCACACTCTTTCTAGATTCTCAACATCTTTTTTAAAGTGTAATGACCAAAACTGGATGCAGTACTCTCGGTGTGGTCTTACTAAAGCTTTATAGAGTGGCATTAGTCCCTCCCTTGATCTCGATTGTATCCCTCTCTTCATGCAATTTAGGATTGCACTGGCTTTTTTTTGGCTGCTGCTACACACTGCTGGCTCCTATTTAGCTGGTTGTCCACTAAGACTCCAAGATCCCTCTCACAGTGACTGCTATTGAGCCAGGTTTCACCCAGTCTATATGTGCACTTATGGGTTTTTTCTTGCCTAAATGTAGGACTTTACTTTCCTCTACACTGAATTTCATTTTGTTAGATAGGACCCAATGTCAGGATCCATCTGGATCTTGAGCCCATCTTCTTGGGTGTTGTCTGCCTGAAAACGGAGCCCCCTACCCCCTCTGCCATTCCCATGACTCAGTGGGCCTATCGGTAACCCTTCCCCTTCTCCATCGCTTCGTGAATTATCCCGTTTCCTAAGTACGAGGCGCGCGGGGCCGTAAAACGAACCAGAATGGGTTGAGTTGGCAGCATAGGCTCCAATGAAACTTAACCAACCGTTCGTCCCCCTCTCGTGAATCAAGGCGGCTTAAGTGGAAGCAGACTCCGGAGCCCATCGCTCAGGGAAGCAGGGAAAGAGGACGAGGAAAAGAAGTGGGAAGTGTCTTTTTTTTTTTTTAAAGATGTGCCAATTAGGCGCATGGACCAAAGGAACATTAAAAGACATGGCTTGTTGCACCCTTCTCAATTTCCACCCCCCCCCCAGCTTAAAAAAACAAACGGAGGCTTAGAAAGAAAGAGGGGGACAGGGAGCAAGAGAATACCAAAAAAAAATAATAATCAATATTTTGAGACTGTCAAGGCTTGTTGTGATGTGCAAGTTCTGCTTTAATCTCCCTGTGGCTGAAGGCAGGGAAGGAAGGAAGGAGGGAGGAGGGCAGGGCTCACACTGCCTGTTTTACACGCTGGGGTTTGTTTCTTCCTCTATTCACCCTCATTTATCCCACAAGAGGACTTAAAAGAGGTGCTGCCCCCTCGCATGCCTTATTAGCATCGCTTGCACAAGGGGTGTCTGTCTGTGTGTGTGGGTGTGCTTGTGTGAGAGGAGGCAATTACGCCCCCCCCCCCCCCCCCACCAAGCACTCCCGACACTGCCAGCTCGGGCAAGCGTCAAAATATCGTCCTTGGCTTGTAATTTGTAACTTAATTTAAAGGCCCCTGTTTTCCCTGGCGACCTTTCCAGGTTGGAACCGCGGCTGTGTAGGTGGGGGCCCCTGGCCATTACCAGCCTGGCTTGAAAGCATCTGGGCTAGATGATTTTGGGGGGTGGGGTGGGGAGGGAGAGAGATAGGAAATAATGGGGAGTCCGTTAAGGACCTGGGCAGGATCTCAGAAGGCTGGTTGGCGAGGGAGGGAGGGAAGGAGGGAAGGAGGGAAGGAAGGAAGGAAGGAAGGAAGGAAGGAAGGAAGGAAGGAAGGAAGGAAGGAAGGAAGGAAGGAAGGAAGGAAGGAAGGAAGGAAGGAAGGAAAGAAAGGTTGGGCTAGCTTTGCAGATGGGCTTCCTCTGAACCACTCTGCAGGGGTATTGAGACAGGAAGGGGGTGAGTTCCCCCCCACCTTTTAAAGTTGTGTCTGGGGTCCACTCACAATGCAAGTCTTGGCCATGCTTATCATAGAACTAGCTCGATCCCCGTGCTTCGCTCCAAAACTCTGTGGTCGGGCTTAGTTTTGGGGGAGGAAAATAAGGGGGGGAAAATTCTGCCTCCGCCTACCAGCATCCTGTCCCTGTGTGAGAGAGTAGAGGGCTGTTTAAAACTGAAGCAGTATTTGCTGTGTGAGCAAGAAGGAGACAGCAAGGAGCCTGGGTGTGGCTTAGCTCAACAGTTCTGTCCTAAAGCTGCTTGCTGCTGTGAAACTAAAACTGAAACTCCTCTCCTGATTGTGTTTTGCGTTTGGAAGAGATTTCTTTTCAGGTGGGGAGGGGGAATAGAACTCCTGAGCATCAGAGCGTGTTGATAATAATAATAATATATGAAATATTAATGCTCTCATGGGTTATTTTGAAAAATATTTTCTTAGTGAGCCCCTAGAAGCCAAGAGGGCCATACGTGCCAAATTTCAAGTTTGTAGGCTTTACGGTTCTGTATTCCAAGTTTGGCCTTACTAAGGCTTCATAAAGAGCTACTAAACACTTCACATGATCTTGATTCCATCCCTCTGTTAATGCAGCTTAGGATTGCATTGGCTTTTTGGGCTGCCGCCGGCGGACACGGCTGGCTCATATTTAAGCGATTGTCCAAAGATTGTCCTCTAGCTGTTACTGACATTAAGCTAAGTTTCACCAAGTCCCATGATGGTGAACCTATGGCACGCATGCCACAGGTGGCACGCAGAGCCACTTGTGCTGGCATGTGAGCTGCAGGCAAACTTACTTCACTGCGCATGCGCGCCCCTCACAGCTGATTTTTGGCCAGTTTGAGGCCTTTTTCGGCCTCCGAAAACCTTGAGGAAGGCTTCTGCAAGCTTTGCAGGCCGAAAACTGGCCCTGTTTTGCACTTCCTGCATATCTGCATGTTTTGCACAGGTTGCACATCTGAGTCATGAAAAAAGTTGCGGTTTTTTATTTTCCCCTCCCTCCCTCCTCCCTGTAATTTTGAGCCAGGCACTCAACTTCACCCTTAGGATCTTGGCACACTAAAAGCAGGATGTGTTTCAAATACGACCATCAAGGACACCAGAAGCCGGAGCGCGAGGGCTCGCTCTATGGTAAAATTACAGGCGCCGCTATCAAACGCCAGCTGAATTTTAATTAAGGAATGGATTTATAAGGCTGCAAGATATTAAAAGATTTTCGGCCAACGATCCGGGGGGGAGAAGGGAATTCTTTCAGCTTTCTTTCATTTTCCTTTTATTTTTTTTAGTTGAAAAGGGGAAAAAAAGAAGAAGGAAAAGAAAATCTCCCAGTGAGGTGTTATGGGCAATCAGCATTTTTATGTCACGCTATTAAAGCCAAAACCGGGCCTGAAATTTTCTGGCCTTTGATAATCTTGGAAGGGAAACTCTTAAGGCTCTGCCTGCCTCTTCAAATATCTGCAGATGTTTTAATAGAAAGGGGTGGGGGGGGAGAGATGAGGCGCCTTGCATAGTGATGTCCTTGCTTCAAATCCGCAGAGGCTCTGACTTCAGCCGTCGATCTGAATGGATAACGGATGAAGAAGGAGAAGTCCCCAATTTAGGACTATGTTGTGGTTCACCAGCAGCTGGTGCAAACGGCAGCAAAGTTGGACAGTAGGGGACCAGTCCGGGGTCTGGAGAGGACTCGGACGAGGTTCCTGCATCTGATGCGGAGATGAGGCCAGGACCATCTGGGAGTGGGGTGCTGACTCCAGAGCCTCTGGCGTCTGGGAGCAGTGAGGCAGAGGAACAAGGGGAGCCTGTTTTCAGTGCGCGTATGCACAGAGCTGCCAGAAGGCAAGAGCAGCTGAAACAGAAGGAGCGACTTGGGAGTAAGGCTAGGTGGTGAACTGCCCCTCCCCTAAAGGATAAAGGACAGGCAAAGGTAGAGAAACCTTTGCAGGAAGCAAAATCGTTTGCTCTGTTGGATTCAACCTTGAAGCTCTGTGTGGACTTTGTACTTTGTTTTGGCTTCTTAACAGTTAATTTGGCACTTTAGTTGTTGGCAGCAATTCAAAGGAGAGAAAGGTGGGTGCTTATCTCGGGGAACTGTTTGGGACTCATTGTGGGCTGGGAATGCACATAATTCCCAGCATTGAAATAAAACAAGAGGTGTTTGGACTAAGCGTGTGCTTAATTACGTTCCTGGGAAGCTTTGGTCAGAACAGCCTACAATTGGGGGCCCTGTTGCCAAGCATGGCAGTTGTTCAAAGCGAGCCGCGTCCAAACCTACGACCATTTTGCCACAGCTGGTAACTATGGTAACTGCGAAAAACAGCGGTAAGTCATTTTGTTTCCAGTGCCGTTGTAACTTGGAACAGTCACTAAATGAACTGTTGTAAGTCAAGGACTACCTGTAATTACATGCTGGGTTGTCGAGGGGAGGGGAGGGAAGGGTTGGAAGAAAGGCTAAATGGAGAGAATAATAAATGGAGTGGAAGGGAAGGGAGAGGAGAGGAAGGGAGGGCAGGAAGGAAATGCAGCCTCGTCGATAGGCAAATAGACCCAGGAAGGAAGGAAATGTTCCACCAGCTTAATATAAATGCTTTGCAGCAAAAAGAAAAAAGAAAAAAGAAAGAAAAAGGAAGGTTTCCTTGTTCTCTCGGTGCCTTTTGGGTGTAATTAACAATAAATCATGCTGAGGGTTACAGCACCCTGTTATTCCATAAATAAAACCCTGGGAAAGAACTTTGTCAGGAATGATTTATGTGAAGTGCCGCTCTGAAGTTTATTGTATTTCCATAATAAGGAATCATGGAGCCTATCCATTTTTTTACCCCATTACCATTTCTAAACACCACACGCCCCTCCGCGCAACCAGAAGCGGTTCCCGCGCATCAGAAGCCAGGCGGGACGGATCCCTGGAAAAGTCCAAGTTTTACAGGCCGATTTGGGCTCCCAGCAAAAGAAAACAGGTAACCAACCACTTCCTTCCTGGTTGGAGAGCCCGTCTTTCCAGAGGCCATTTCAGGCAAGGTGGCCGCTGGCAGGCTTAATATTTCCTTTTTTCAAAAAGAAAAGAAAAGAAAAGCCTCAGCTCCTATCCAAGGCAACAGGTAATAAATATAGAGGATAAAGCTGCCACTCACCATCTCTTGCAGAAAATACCCTCAAACAAAGGGAGGGAAAGGAGAATGAGACTTTCAACTCTGTTAATCTGTTAAATCTGTTCTCTGTCCTATCCTGTCCTTTATTCTGCATTCTCTTCTCTTCTGTTCTCTCTTCTGTTCTATTCTATTCTGAGTTCTATTCTTCTCTTCTGTTCTATTCTGTTTTCTGTTCTGTTCTATTATTTGTTCTGTTCTGTGTTCTATTGTGTTCTGTTCTGTGTTCTGTTTTGCTGTTCTATTCCTATATTCCTATTCCTTGTTCCTTTGTTCTGTTTCTTTTCTTTTCTATTCTTTTCTGCTCTATTCTGCTCTATTCTGTTTTGTTCTGTTCTGTTCTATTCTATTCCTGTATTTCTATTCTATTCTATTCTGTTCTGTTCTGTTTTATTCTATTCCTGTATTTCTATTCTATTCTATTCTGTTCTGTTCTGTTCTATTCTGTTCTATTCTATTCCTGTATTTCTATTCTATTCTATTCTGTTCTGTTCTATTCTATTCCTGTATTTCTATTCTATTCTATTCTATTCTATTCTATTCTATTCTATTCTATTCTTATTCCTATTCTGCTCTATTCCTATTCTGCTCTATTCCTATTCCTATTCCTATTCTATTCTATTCTATTCTATTCTATTCTATTCTATTCTATTCT